CCCAGGGGGAGCAAAGGCAAGGTGAATCTACTTCATCAGGGAACCAAAACCCCAAGTCGAAAGGCAAGGCGGTCGCTGAAGAAGGAAACTTGAAGGTATTGTTCAATATCCCTCAACAACCTTTGTTTGAAGACTCTACCTCTCAGGTAGTGATTACTTCAAACTATCAACTTCATATTCCATCAACAACCTACGATCGACTGGAACGGGTACTTGATTAACCTGTCTCTTGTGCTCCTACCGACCAGCAGATGTCTCAACTAAAGGAGTCACTCGACCAGACTAGAGTAAAAATTCCTCTTCGTACCTCTAACGGTGGTGAGTTCGACTTCTTGTCTGAATCTGAAAGACTCGAGGCATTAAGGGCTGAAGAAGAGCTAGAGCTTCAAAAGAAGCAGACTGAAGAAAGCTTGAAGCTGGCCAAGTCACTAGCTGAGAAGGTCCTTCCTAAGAAGAAGTCCAAGAAAAAGGTGAACGTTGTCCAAACCCAAGATAAACTTCTTTCTATTGCAGAAGCTGAGCATGAGAAGTACCTGAAACTGGTGGAAAAGGACAAACGATGGAGCGAAACAAAGCTGAAAAAGAGAATTAGTCCCCCCCCCCCCGATTATCAGCGTCAGCATCAGCGGACGTTCTAAAGACGGTGGAACGCTGGTCTCAATGTTCATCACCTGGGACAATCTTGATGTCGTTACCGAGTACCCTTCCTACCTTGGCCGTTATGGATACAGCGAATGGATGGAGATCAGACAAGTCATTCAGCGATCCAAGTCGAGACACAAGACACTTATCGAGGACACCATCAGCGAGCTCAACAAAAGGATGTCCAGGTATGTCAAGGTCCCTGACAGGCCATCTCTGAAGAAAGGTGGGAAGAAGAAACTCAAGCTCTCTAATCCTAATGATGGACCATTCCTAAGGAACGAGCATGAAACAAGTTTCTCCTTAGATGAAATCCTGAAGGGTCACTAGAGTACAGACATTTCTATGCTGAATCTTGACTTGCCAGATAAGGGTCCCTATACACCCAACTCTGTGCACTTTAAACCTGAGTTAGGAGTTATATTCCTTGACTATGAAGGTGAAGTCAGATTTCAGAGAATGTTAGAGCTACATCTATGTCCAATGGGTCATCTGGTTTACCTCTTGCTCTGGATAGATGATAGCATGCCTAAAAATGTCGTAGATCTGAATATACGAAGGGAATTCCTACGTCGAAGAAACCTTAGTGAAGATGTATCTGGTTACATAGATCTAAGTGTTCTAGAATAGTTTCTCTTTATAACAACAATCCACTTTTCCTTGTAACTTCTTGTACTATGTCTACTTTTAGTGATTATACTTATAATCTATAAGCACTAGACATATAATGTAATACTTGTAATATTTCCAGTGATTAATAAAATGAGTATTCCATGTACTTCACTGAAAAAGATCCCTGAAAAAAATAATAGGGACACAAGTCTATGAGTTCCAGTGTTACTTTTCACATTCACTGACAATCTGTAAGTCAGTGAATAAGCTTCCAGTTTCAGTTTCCTTATTTGTAATTTTTTTAGATATAACTTAAGGAAAATTCTCAAGTTGAGACTGACTAACTGAAAAAGATCCCAAAATAGTAAAAAGGGACATGTACTTTATATGTAGCTTTTTCTTACTATTATTTGATAAGATAACTTTCTTTATGTTATCTTGTTATCATCAAATAGGGGGAGATTGTTGATCCTCTCTCTCAGTGATTTGATGATAATCCCTTTTCACTTACACGTTGTATTTATGTTTCTGTCTTTTCAGTTCCAKCGATCTTCACTGAGCATGTTCAGTGATCGCTGAAGAACTTGTATTGTAAATCTATCATAAACAGCGATACTTCAAGAAGACAACACTCACACCAAAGAACCTTCAGCAAACGTCGAAGACTGAAACTGAAGATTAGAGACTGGCGAGTACGTGATCTGAAGCGGAACTCAGTGATTACAAGCCTGTCTATATATGTGTGAAGACTGCTCAAACTTCAGCGAATGATGAAGAGACCTTCAGGTCATTCCAGCATTCAGTGATCAAAGGAAGCTTGCTTAGCACGATTGTTGTTGTCTTGTCCTTATGCACACAAAGGACAAACCCATACCCTTATGAAAGTTGGTACGGTACGGAGCCGACTAGTCGACTCTATTGTCCACCAACTTTAGTAAGGATGTCTGCTCATGAATAGTGTTTTTATACTATTCACTGTAGCAAAGGACAAGTCTTCCTCTTAAGGCTTGACATGCACTCTAACCCTACCATATTGCATTAAATTAACATTTAATGCACTGGGTATAAATAGAAGTGTTTCTTCTCCATGTAGAGTGCGCGCAACTCACTCTCTAACCCTAATTCTTACTTCAAGCATTTTCTAGCTTAAGTAAAGAATCTTCTTTACAACATTTTATTTTTTGTATTGCTAAGATTTAGTGTGTAACTAAAGATTGTTTAGATAGGTTTTTATCACCTTATATTTCCGCAAACAATCTTGTAAAATCTGTATTGATCTTCTTTATCAATATATATTTTAAATTTGAAAATATTGTGTTTGTATTCATCCCCCCCCCCCTTCTACAAACTGTTTTACTATTCTTGTAGACCCTCAAGGGACCAACAAGGACAAATAGGTAATTTTTATGTGTAAGTTACTTTTATGGTATTTAATGAGATGTTACAAATTTTTATGTGTAAGTTACTTTTATAGTATTTAATGAGATGTTACAAATTTTTATGTGTAAGTTACTTTTATGGTATTTAATGATATTCATAGGTGTTCATAAGAATGTGTTCATAACCATAAGGTATTCTCAAGAATGTGCTTATATGTGTTCATAGAAATGTGTTCATAACCATAAGACGTTCGTAAGATTGTGTTCATAACCATGTGGTGTTCATAGGTGCTCAAGATCTTTTGTTAACCATATGGTGTTCATAGGTGTTCAAAATCTTTTGTTTTCAAAATCTTTTGTTAACCATATGGTGTTCATAGGTGTTCACCGATGAACGATAGCTCATTATCTCTATTAAAAAATAATGTATTTATTGGTGGACCACAAATATATTTATCAAAAACCATGAACAATGAGTACATATGAACCACCATAAATATTTGTTCATGAACGGTCTTACATGAATTGACATAAGAATGTTCATAAAAGCTTGTTGATATAACATTTATGACTTTAAGCATGTTTCATGAGTGAACAAGTTGAATCTCATATCATAAAATCTTTTCACAAAATACCCCTTGTAAACATTGTTCACTTATGTTACCTTCCCTCTTTGTGCAATTAATTAAATTTTATGTCATTAATGATATCAACCATAAATTTCAAAGATCAATGGATGAGATGAGTTTACAAAGTTAACACTATATGTTGGGTTAACAAATGAACTCACCCCTATATATATGTCATAATCGACTGAGAACCATAAATATTATGATAACCACATGAACCGATTTAGTTGAGTCATTTTAATTAATAAATAATTAATAATAAAAGAGTATAATAGTAATCTCAAATTTAGATGACAATTAAGCATTAATATACATCGGTTATTTTAACTAATTATCTCAATTTCCTTAAAACAAATTCACATTTTTATTCGATAAATTTCCCCATTCCTATTCATTTTTATCTCTCGCGAAGGAACCCAAAAATATGCTTGGCTGCCGCACCACATGTGATGATATCTCGTGTATCAGATTCTGTATCACGTGTAATTAAATTAGCGTTATCATGTTTTCTTAAATGAATGTGTCTTTGTTTGAACCATTCTTTATGTGTTTGTGTAAGTATATACGCATGCGCACACCAGATGATGCAACATAATGTAAAATTTAATTGTAAATTAAAATTCGACTTGGTTTTATGATCTTTTGCGAGACTATGCTTCCAAAAATCTCAGATATTTTTATGTTTATTTGATTGATTGACCTTATATCTATATAGATGTTGTTATTAACACATAAAGAAGAAGAAATATGAACAAACTAGAAAATGAAAGACTATATATGTATTAATAATGGGTAAATTGCATGAAAAAGTAACCTATTTTAACCTGATTCTTATTTTGGGTAACGTACTTTCAAAACTTCCATTTTGATACCTAAAATGTAAAGTTTTAAACATTTAAGTAACCGGATAACTGGTTATCTTGCTGATGTGGCAAGTGATGTGGTATCAAACTCAGTATTATTTGCTAACGTGGTTAGTAACATGGATTTTTTTTAAATCTAAAATTAGTCTTTTTTTAATCTAAAATTAGTCTTCAATTGGTTGACCGAGTACTTAAATGTTTAGAACTTTACATCTTAGGTACAAAAATATAAGTTTTGAAAGTACGTTACCCAAAATGGAATCAAGTTTTGAAAGAATGTTGCCCATTAATAATTTATACTTAATGTTTTATAAGATGCATCCTTCGAGTTCTTAAAACAAAAACCTAAATGTTTTATAATCGTTAAATGAGAACTGAAAAAATATCAAATCTTAAAAGCCTTTAACTCACATTGTGAAACAATGCATGTGAAAATGGAGTGTTGGTAATTATTTTTAATGTGTGTATTTTCTTTATTGTGAGACAACACAGTACTAATCGTGGTTCTCACATATTCAGTATTTCTATAAACCACCTGAGAAAATTCGACCTCCCTCGAGACCACCATGGATTTTCATAATTGCTATCTTCAAAACCCATAAGATTATTCAAGATACATACAACCTGACCAGACATCAACACTTGCCAAAAGAAAAATACCACAAGTAACATAATTGGTTGGCTGGTGGGTAGCAGAGTTCAAAGAACACAACTTTTGGTGTTCTCGAGCTCCACTCATATCGCATACAACCATACAAGTTACCTCGTCAAAAGCATGACGACAAACTTTTGACGAGCCAACTCACACCCAGTTCCCTACACAAAATTCCCTTGCTTTACGTTCGTCTCAAATGTGACAAACATCACTACGCAAATTAACCAACTTTTTTTGTGTACAAGCTATTTATTTAATCAACCAGTTTTCAAGTATAAACTGTACATATAAGTTTGATATTTATAGTGTGTGTATCAACACAAAAAGTAATAGTAATAGTAATAGTAATAGTAATAGTTACACAAACGTGAAAAATCTCGATAATACGCAAAAGATGAAACAAAAACTTATGCTCCCTCCACTTGAAAGCAAGTGGTTGACTCCATATCCGCAATATATCAAACTGAAGGCCGATCCCTCTGCAAACGAATTTAAGTGAAATGTGTCTATTACAAGCTTCCCCATAAATTGACACAATTATACACACTTCAATTTTTCTATTTGACTATATTGCTTCTCACCTGTACTCAATATTTTTATGGTTCTCACATGATTAATCAACCCCTATTAGACTATTGGTCAAATGACTAAAATACCTTCTCAAAAATGACAATTAAGAAATCTTGAGGACCAAAAACAATGTCATCAATACGTACAACCGTATAACTTATATAGTCATGATAAATATTAGTCAAATGTCTAAAACACCCCTTCAAAATGATTCCCTTCTACACCATTATTTATTGCTTCTAAAGCACTCACAAGAATGTGAATCAGCAAGTAAAAAGGCAATGGTGTTTTCAGTTACCTTGAGGCTCAGAAAAACTAGCTCTGTATACATTCAAACGGGCGCAATGATCCTTCAGGAAACTCATGCATCCGGAACCCTTCTAGTATCTCAAACGGTCTGCAAAAAAAAGTATCTAAATGGCACTCAAAATAAGAGCATATCAAGCACATAGTAAATAAATATTCAACACTTACAGTAATGATTCACGGTTATGGGATAATCTGCGTTGATTGCCTTCCATTGTATCTAAGATATTAGCAGTCTCTGGTCCGGCTGTTCCCCCGGCAATGACAGATGGAATTGAAGCAAGCGGGGTCCAAATCTGACCACATTATTTCTATTTGTCACATAATGAACCATTATAGTCCTAATAAAATACTATATATATAATCCAACGCTGTATGTATATATAGGATTGACTTCCGGTGAGAACGGCAGTTATGGTGAGAAGGGTAAAAAGAGATCTCCACTTTTGGATCAATCTTGGTTTTAAAAAGCACGATGCGGTCCGAGGCAGTAAGGGTCCCGGAAGCCGATGTGTGATGCGGAAGCCGATGTGTGATGCGTGATGCGGATGTGCTCGCATCACGCACGTGATGCGCCCGGTATTCAAAAAATACTTATAAATTAATTATATAGATTAATTTTTACCTTAAAAATACTTGCCTATCAAAATACTTCATTTATAACATAAAGTAGTTCAAAAAGTGGCATTAGAATCTTAAAAAGTTCGTGAATCGGAATAACAAAACACACAAACTACTACCATGAAGAACACAAGTAAATGTCTAATAGTTTGTGAATCGGAATAACAAAACACACAAACTACTTCTGCTTCTATTCTATTAGGTCACGACTCATGTATATGTTCTTGATCTGATATGCGACTTGAGACTTGAGAGGGGCATCTATTTTATTAGGTCATTATTACATTCTATTTAATCTACAAAAAGCCCAACTAAAAAGCCCAACTACAAACCTCTAAAGAATGAAAAAGGAGCCCAAACATGAAACATACAGGATGCGCTAATGCACACATCGTGTGATGCATAGGTGATGCGACCGCATCAGAGAGCATCATGGAATCGCTTCGCATCAGCCCCTCTGATGCGTTACCTCCGGCGCATCGGAGCGCATTTTTAAACCAAGGGATCAATCCTAATTGAAGATCAACACTAATAAGATGCATAGGATTAATTCCATGAGAAGCGCAATTCATAGGGGTGGGGGTGAGATTAAAAGTGATCAAGGGTCTAGATCCCTTCTTATGTTTCTCACACGACCCTTCGTCTATATATGTATATATGTATATATATATATAAGGTCAGGTTCGGGGAAAAACCAGCAAAAAAATGAAAAACCGAGGAATACCCGCGTATTTGTTCATCTGGACGGTATGCATAAAAACCAAAAAAATCTTCAATTACTTATATGCACATGTGCATACCGTCCAAATGAATGGTTACCCGGGTGTTCCTAAATTCTTCATTTCTTTGGGGGGTTTACCCTGAACCTCCCCGATCTCTCTCTCTCTCTCTCTCTCTCTCTCTATATATATATATATATATATATATACTAGTTGTGTACCCGCGCAATGCGGCGGGAGCCATGAATTTTAACGATTTTGAAGTTCCACTGGTTTTATAAGATAAGATTTAACGATGATATAAGTTACATTTGGTCTTTACATATTAATACAATTTGAATAAATAAGAGTTACGGTTCCAATTACAGACTATCGATGAAAAAAATTGTATGACGGTTTAAAATCTAATATATTTAAAATCCAACATATTTAAACGACTCCACAAATGTATTCGTTTTACACCAAGAGCAAAGAACCAAGAAACTTGAGTTTTAAGATAAACACTCAAAACCAATAAAGAAAACTACAAATTTGACAGATCATAAGCCATGAAAAGACAAAAAAAGATGGGGTTTAGAATGAAATTTCAACTGCTTACCCTCTTTCTTGTCCAAAAACTCAGATTAAGGTTGAATTAATACATGTATATATATATTTAAAAGAACATATTAATTCAAAACATATTACACATTGCAATTTGAACAGCCTAATCCCAAAATATATAGTATATATATAAATAAAGAACTATAAAAGTATAAATCGTAAATATTAAAAATATTTTTTCACAATATATATAATATATAATAATATAATTAAGTCAAAAACTATTTAATATTGGACTCATTTTGAAGGTATTAACGAGACGATTATAATGGTGTAACTTGTTAAAATAAAAATGTATTTTTTAAACATGTTTTAATTGATATACGATTATGTATGTTAATTTGATAAATGTTTAAAATGAAACATTTAAAAGTAAAAGACGTAAAGTAAATTAATTAATTAATTATAGGGGTATAAAGTATAAATTTAAAATTATAATTCAAAAAAATCGGTTATGAGAGTGTGAGTGTATGTGAGGAGAGGAGGTGGTGAAAAAGTGAAAAAATGAGTATAAAGGGTATTTTGGTCATTTAGAATTTTAAGACTTTAAGACTTTTACTAAATTTGCTTTATAAGATAGTATAGATATATATATATATATATATATACACGCACACACTATTTACCTTAATGGTATTATCTATCCCACTAGTAGCTACGACGCAATCAAATGGATGACTCTGCACACAGTTCACAACTGAAAAAGGAAAGAAATCATTAGCCAACAAGAAAATGAAGATGAACTCGCATAGAAAAGCTTAGGATTGAAGATATATACCAGCCCCATCTCCCATAAGCATTTTTATAAGTCTACCAGTGCTCTTCTCCCAAATAAACCATCTACCATCATCACTTCCACTAGCAATGTACTCACCTATCATCAGAAATTGTGAATATGATACTCTTTTTATAGATATAGGCAAGTTCTACCCATCATTATCAGATAAAAGTTAAAAATTCAATAGTTTTGGCTTCGTGGTAGCAGATGTAAAATAGAAAGAAAATTTCTATTTTTATTTCTGCAAAGAGTAGATTCTTGCAGAATGGCGTAAACCCATTTTCAGGCTACATAGTTTCTAAATAATCTCAAGAGTCAATATGCAGAAAAAGAGATGGGACGACGGGATAAAGTACCTTTTTGGCCGAGAAAGCTGGCTTGTTTAATGTCGGTCCCAACATTGCAATGACCAACATATCTTTGCTTCATATCTATTGCTCTCTCATGCTGCAATACGAGCAACAAGGATAAACCCATATAAATAATCTCATAATAAAGTTAAAAACAATTAAATAACCAAATGTTTATGACAGAATTTAAACAAAAGTTAGCAGACAGAAAAGCCAAAACCTGACGAGTAATTCTATCACTTCGAGGAGATGATTTCGGGGATCCACAGGAGCTACTTGTATGGCAAGTATTTATCGTTGAATCACCTTTTCTATGGATTCTGACATTTAAACTTCGCTGGAAATTGTTACTAGATTCAACTTCATGGGCTTCGTCACCTGATATTGAAGTTTCAAAATCGACTTCCAACTCCTCCTCATAATCAGAGTCCTCTCTTCCAGATATAGGTTGTGAAGTATCACTGCTTGCATCCGACCGATAAAGTATGTCACTTAGAGATAATACTCTACCAGCTCGTGTTTCAGAACTAGGGGTTCCTTCCTTTGCCTTGTTAGAGACTTCGGCTTCAACTGACAATTATCCAATTAACACACACACACAAAAAAAAACAATTTTAGAAAACATGAAGATATTTCAGATAAAATATTGCATTCAACATGAAGTTTATCTGGAGCACAGTGAAGCCTCATGTATAATGAGCTTGGCACACAGTTGCAATCATGACATGTAGCACAAGCATACGAACAGCTCGAAAAGAACCATAGCACATGGATTGGCTTTTAGCGCACCATTTACATAAACCCAATGAACATTTATATATAGTAGAACTAGATTACCATCATTTACTAATTCTATGCAAAAAGAAACAACTAATTCATGTACAGTTAGAAAATATTACAGGTGTTATTCATAAATTCAAGGGTCTAATTGGATTCAATCATATTATATCCATTTTCAGAAAAAGCATAATAGAAATTAGATTACCATCACTTGCTAGTTCTACGAAGTTCTTTTTTTAAAATTTATGTGGAGTTAGAAAATGTTAACTAGTAGTTCCTTGTGACCCTTGTCCTTTATAACATTATCGGTACATGATACATGAAGTTATTAATAAGTTGTAAAGGCCAAGGGTCAAAAGTAACTGCAATCGCCTAAGGTTATTACCAGAGAGTAAAATCAAACAAAAGAAAAAAAAAAGAGCGAGCTAACCCACATTAAAGATAATCTATACATTTGAAGACATGAAGAAGATAATAATGACCGTATACAAAGTTTCAAAAACTTCTACTCAAATGTAATTCTTTACAAGATTGAAGCAACATCTTTTTAACATTTTACCAAAAATTCAGAGATTTATTCAATTTAGCATCTGTCATGCACCCAACCATTAGATTCACATATGAGATGAAAGGGATAGAATCACATCAGATGGGTAACAATGGGACCCCTTCAGGGGATATAAAGGCTGTTAGTCATTCGGTTAGAGAGGGGCAAGCGGGGAATTAGTCTATTATGGTTAGTACAAATAATAGGGCAGTAGCCATAGGAGGGTATCCACAATACAATTTGGCCAAACATATAGGAGAGACTAGCCTCTCTAATTGCTAGAAGTTCCATTCTTGTTATTATCTTTTTTTTACATTTATTGATTGAATTGAATACAATTTGGCCAAACATTTCCTTTCTAGTACTGTATTTGTTTCAGCCCTGTTATTCGGTTCATAACAGCATCCTTCAATATACGAAGTGGTAACTCTATGTAACCAACCAAACCCAGCTCAGCAAATTCTCTATCAGATTTACAGTCAAAATATATAGCTACCTTCTCCACAAGGTAAACCCGGGATTCACCCCCCCCCCTCTTCCTCTTCTTTCTTCAATTTATCTCCATTGTATTCTTCAAGTATGAGACCAAGAAGAGGATCCCTGACAGGTGCACATGGCATTTGCTTTTTTTTCCCCTAAACAGTCCAATGCATTAGTCATGAAGAGGAAGGGATGAATGCGAGCAGTCGGCAGTTCTCTCAGAAGCAACAAATCCAAGCATCGATGGATTTGGTAGAGTGCTAGTCACAACACTAGAACCAAGTTAGGTGAGCTTTAGCCTACGCCCACTTGACTATCATGACTATAATCTACACACTACGTTGTGGAGGTCCATAGGACAAGTCAAACATCATATAAGTGAGAAATCGAGGAGCGGTATCTAGCAATACACTAAGGTCCCTTTTGGTTTGCAGGATTGTTTTTGAAGGATTTGGATTCATGATGGGATTTGGATTTGGAGGGATTTGGATTGGAATGGATTTGAAATCATTAGTATGTTTGGTTTGTAGAATTTGGAATGGAATTGGATTTCATTATTTATAAAAAAAATTAAAAATAATAATAAAAATAAATTAAATTACATTTTTATTAATCGATTATTACAAAACAAATGTTTTTAACATTTTTCAAAACCTTATTTCATAAAATCCTACGAAATCACGTGAAATCCCGAGCACTCCTTAAGGATTTCAAAATCCTTTGTTTGTAGGATTTCAATTAAATCCTAGGATTTCAAATCCAGACAATCCAACAAACCAAAAATGGGATTGGAATGGATTTGAAATCCAAATCCCCCTTAATCCATTCCATTCCTGCAAACCAAACCGGACCTAAGTTGTCGGTCAGGTAACGATGATGTATCCCTTATGATTGATAAATCAAGGATTTCACACTAATTAGGTGTATTTTGACCTGATAACATATATTTTGGTTTTTTCCCTGCATGACTCACAACCACTATCCCTATCTATATGTGCGTCTCTCCATGCATATATTTCTTCAAGATATAAATAGGGATATTTACAAACCTGTATCTATACATTTTCTTATGTTCTCCACCATCTCAGCAGCTTCAGGATTAGACGGAGCTGAAAACTGAGCAGCAATGGCGAACTCCAAAGCTTCTTTGTGTTTACCCAACTGATTGGCAATTATACACCAGAAATATCAATAGGAATAAAAAATTTAGGTCACATAATTCTTTTAAACAACTGCAAGCATCCATAGAATCAGAATTCATATTATCTGTGGCATATTGATAATTGAAACTTGAAAGTCAATCTAAAAGAAACAATTCTACTTATAACTATAACCGCAAGAAAGATGGAATTATGCCACTGAATCCATATAGTCAATAAATCAATGGTAATAAGTAACAACATGACACTACTAATATAAAATTTCCCATATAGGAAGCMGTATTGCACCACAGTTCATTAGGCACCAGATACATATACCTCCTTGGTGCTGGAATTTCTATTTAATTTTATAAATGGGACTATGTTCCTTCCGTCCATGCAACTTTTTGCATTTTACAAACATTCCATGAAACTATCTTGTCCATGGTGGAACATGAAATTTCAGTTAAAGGTGAGAAATACATAACTTCCAGCAAAAATTACAAAATCTGAACAAAAAAATGGTGTGTTCGAACTGTCTATAAAGCGGCTGTTTCCATGAAGACCCCAGGCTGTGCAATTCATCTTCATCTTTTAAGAACTAAAATAACAAAAAGAATTACAGAAACCAAATAATTCATCCTCTCCAGCTTATTTCTTCTTCCTTTCTTCAAGAGTTCCAAACAATAAAAAAAAATCATAATTTTAGGTTCGAGAAAACAATTTCCAGGAAAAGCACTTTTCCATTCAAAATAAGAAATTTTTGGAAACCAAAGTTTGTGTTTATGGATCTTTTGTGTTCAAAGTTCAGACGCATTTGTATGTTATCTTGTATCCATGCAATCAAAGTTCTTGACAGGTTTCTGGAAATCCACATATGAGAAAAAATTTCAGGAAACCCACTATAACACATGGGAAATTTCTCCCAAAAGTGAGTGTTTTAAGGACATAGGGTTTTCGTCATGTATTTTACTAATCGATCTGAGAAGCTCCTTATGTGATCTAGAGTTCAAGAACATTGATGAAAAGATTCCAATAATAACCACAGTGCATAATGCCTTCATAAAAATTAAGAAGCAAGTCCATGATCCCAAGTACTGTAAACAGCTCAAATTTACCTGCAATAGAGCTTCAGCCATACAGTGCAGGGCCCTAAATGAAGTAGGATCAATTTTCACAGCCCTATAGCAATCTCTTACAGCCATAAGATCATCATGTTTCCAATCCCGCTGAAAAGCAAGTAGAAACATAAAAAATCAACGGAGGCAAAACGCACTTGTTAGTTACAAACAACAGAACAAGGTTTAAGAAAACCTTGAGGAGCAGAGCTGCCCGTAAACACAAACATTCATGCATTAGAGTGTGTCCAATCTGACCATAACCATGCAAAACATCATTGCAAGCCTCAATGCCATAATAATAGTTGGCTCCCTCTTTTAAGGACTTCTCTGCAATTTGAAGCAGTTTTCGGCATTGGTCAAGCTGCAGCAGAGTCATCAAATTCAAAGTTAAGCATCAAGAAACAAGCATAACTAATTTCGCTGATGATAAAGCCAAATGTAGGATGATATGGAAGACAGAAAGCACACCCGGGCAGCAAGGTTCCTCTTTGCAGGAAAACGATTTGAGAAGAAATCGGAGACTGATTGTTTAGATTGCACCTCCTTCAGTATGACGGTTGGATTGAAAAACTTCATTGCATCATCTGATGTGTACCGCATAGCATTTGCATGAACTATAAAAGCATGAAGTGGTCAGTAACATGTCATACTAACGGGTGAAATCACATTGGAAGATTTTGATTGTGGGTGCGAGTTGGTCTAAGCCAACTGTTCGACAACTGATCTCTCCGAGTTTGTAGTTTGATGTGACACCTTGTGTGATTAGAATATGCAAGTCTGTTGTTTAGTATTTATTAAGCACTTCCAATCTTGTTTTCTTGCAATCTCATAGAGATACTTTGTATACCGGTTAAGGGAGAGTTCTATAATCCTAGGAGAGAGAACGAAAATGAAAGTAATGATAGCGGTTGTCATGGAATAGAACTATGATCAATTTCAAAAATAGTTTTGAACCACGCAAAAATTCTAGTCGTTTTCTATTTGGAATCTTCTGTTGTAGGATTGTTCTTCTGGATGTTCCTGAATCCGTAAAGATTCGTGACTGAGAAAAAATATTTCTTAATAGAAGATGTAAAGTCACACATCATACACCTTATACTGGACAAAAGAGCTATTACAACACCAAACCCATGTAACATTTTGAGCACACAAGACTGCAAACCGATAACAACACATCTGCAGATGATAATCAGAACTATTTTCCTCACTCAAATCGACCAGACATTATTGGTTTGTTGTGTAACGACAATCTTAAAGGAAGATAATTGTTCAAGAGGTCAGGGAACATTACAAGGAACAATAGGGTGAAAATATACCAGGATTTACGTCCATTAAGTACACATGTTCTCCACTATAATTGAGAAGAAGCTCTTCTCCATTTGGACTAAATGTAACATGAGTTAGGTGCAAACCTTGCCGCCCCTGAAAAACAGAAGAATAAATAAACATGTTGAAAGTTCAAAATCCGCCGTCTATTGTGAAATATAGAAACCTGAAGATGATATAATATGGATAACAGGGATGAAAAAATTTAACATAATCAACACAACAATAGCAATGAATGGGACCCAATAAACCTAACATAACCTAATAAATACTTCCTTTTATCTCTTTCTTCAGACATCAAGTTAATAATAACATAGACCACATAAACTTTGAAACTTAAGGGGCCTTTTACCAACACACAGAGGGCAGGCACTTACCAGGTAAGTGAGGCTCTTGATATGTTGCTTTGTAAATCATGGTCTGGTGTGGGTATGCTCTGACCAAGTGATGCTCTTGATCCTTACTGGGACAGCATCTCGGTCAGCAACACCGTGGGTTAGAGGGTGTGGTAAACAACAGTATCATATGCTCACTTACCGAGTAAGAGTCTCAGTCAACTGGGAGAGGATATTGATAAACATCTTCATGCTAACCATGCACTTACCCGATAAGAACCATTAAGCACTTAGTAACTAATGGGTCAAGGATTGCTCTAGGTTAGTTGAAGAATCCTATACCTGGGATATTCGCTGCCTAATCTATCTCATACGAAGGTTCCAAGTTAATTAACTTGTGGGTCGACGTTTTCGTATCATTTGGTATCAGAGCCAGGTCTGGTTTCTTTTAATACTATCTTTGGTTCTACATCTCCTTAAATCTTAGTCCTTTTCCTTCTTATACCCATTTCTTCTCCATCTTCTTTGATTATCTCCAAAAAAAACAACATACAAAAAAAAGAAGAAAAAAGGGAAGTATTCTTGGTTGAATTTATCTCATCTGTTTGTTTGATTTAAGTTTTAGGATTTCTTGAACACCGAGATTTGTGTTTTACGAATTGAGCTCTACAAGAGATCAAGAGGTAAACGGCATTGAATGTGTAAGAACAATCGAGGGGAGGTAAAAGCCATATTAAGTGCAAACACGAAGGATTTGTGAGGACAAAATTTGTTTTATACTAATATTTAAACATGTCGAGAAAAGGTTCTAATTCACAAGAAAATCCACCCAACAATGAAAGGGAGACTGATTTCACTCTTCGAGCTATGCAACAACAATTTCAAAGACTTGGAGTTGTATTAGAAGGTGTGATGGAAAGATTGGAAAGAACTGAAAGAATGACGGAAGAAGAAACACATCGAGAAGAGGAGTATGATGGAGAGGAAGAATATGAAGATGGACCACGACATCAAAGAAGAAGGCACGGTAATAGAAGACGAAATCAAAGGGCTGATGGGGTATATAACAATATAAAAATGAAAATTCCACAATTTCAAGGGAAAAAGCGTATTTGGAACGGGAAAAAAAGGTTGATCTCATATTTGATTGCTACAACTATTCCGAGGATAATAAGGTAAAACTAGCTGCCATTGAATTCACGGAATACGCAATAGTATGGTGGGATCAACTGGTGACAAATCAAAGGAGACATGGTGAGAGACCAATTTCTACTTGGGATGAAATGAAAGCAGTTATGCGCAAGAGGTTTGTTCCTTCTCATATTTTAAAGACTTGTATTGCAAATTGCAAACTTTGAATCAGGGAACGAAATCTGTGGAGGACTATTACAAGGAGATGGAGATTGCTATGATTCGAGCAAATGGCAAGGTTTTTAAGTGGCCTAAATCTTGAAATAGCCAATGCAGTGGAACTACAATATTGCGTGGAACTTGAGGATATGGTGCACACGGCCATGAAAGTTGAGAGGCAACTAAAGAAGAGAAATACTTATTCAAGAGGGCAAACATCTAATTTCCAACCCTTGAATAAGCTTAAAGGAGAGGCATCCAAGGCTTCAAATTCTACCTCTTCAAAACCACATGATGCTCTCAAAGGCGGAAAAGTGGACAAGGGTAAAGGTACTGGTTCTACCCATACTAAATCTCATGAAATTAAGTGTTTCCGTTGTCTCGGTTTTGGTCATATTGCATCACAATGTCCAAATAGAAGAGCCATGATTCTTCACGAAAGTAGTGAAGTGGTACCTGAAAGTGAAAAGGATGATTCCTTGGATGAGGAAGACAAGATGGAGAAAACCGAGGCAGAAAAAGGTGAACTATTGGCGGTAAAAAAAGCTTTGAACTTGCAAGTGAAGGTGGATGACACACAACACCGGGAAAACATATTTCACACACGACGTTTGTTGCAAGGCAAGGTATGTACTTTAATAATTGATGGTGGGAGTTGTGCTAAGGTCGTAAGTACTGAAGTTGTTGAGAAGTTAAATTTGCACTTTAAAGCATCCACAACCATATAAACTTCAATGGTTAAATGAGTGTGGATAAGTGAAAGTCACCAAACAGGTATTGATGTCCTTTTCCATTGGTCAGTACAAGGATGATGTGATGTGTGATGTTGTTCCAATGCATGTCAGTCATATACTTTTGGGGAGGCCGTGGCAATTTGACCGAAGAGTTATCTATGATGGCTTTCATAATCATTATACTTTCAAACATCATTACAAGAAAGTCGTTCTTGTATCATTATCTCCACAAGAAGTTCATGAGGATCAAATTAAAATGATCACTTCAAGGCGAGCAAGAGAGGCTGAAAAGAAAATTAATGAGAGTGGTAGATCGAGAGAAAAACAGAGTGATGATAAAAAAAAATAAGTGGTGAAAATGGGGAAAAGAAAAGAGAGAGAACAAGGTCAAATTTTTTTTTTGGAAAATTGAGTGAAGTCAAGAGGGTGATAGTTGAAAACAAGAGAGTAATGGTTTTGGTTTTCAAGGAGTCTTGTTGAACCCAAAATCTTCCATGTTTTATTGTAAATCTTTTACAGGAATATGATGATGTCTTTCCCAAAGAAGAGCCAAGTGGATTGCCACCTCTACATGGAATAGAGCATCAAATTGATTTCATTCCAGGAGCTTCTCTTCCAAATCGTCCAGCTTATAGAGCTAATCCCAAGGAGACAAAAGAGATACAAAGACAAGTGGTGGACTTATTGTCAAGAGGGAGGATTCGAGAATCCATGAGTCCTTGTGTTGTTCCTGTGATTGTGGTGCCCAAAAAGACAGGTGAATGGAGAATGCACACCGATTGTAGAGCCATCAACAAAATAACGGTAATGTATCGCTATCCTATTCCTAGGTTAGACGATATGCTAGATGAGTTGCATGGGGCTGTGATTTTTAAAAAATTGATCTTAAAAGTGGGTATCATCATATTAGAATAAGAGAGGGTGACGACTGGAAAACTGCATTCAAAACAAAATATGGACTGTACGAGTGGTTAGTTATGCCTTTTGGGTTAACTAATGCGCCTAGTACATTCATGAGATTGATGAATCATGTGATGCGTTAGTTTATTGGTAAATTTGTTGTTGTTTACTTTGATGACATCTTGATTTATAGTAAAAACATGGAAGATCACATGACGCATTTACGTGTTGTTTTGGACACCTTGAGGAATGAATATTGTATCCTCACTTAAATAAATGCACATTTTGTATGAATAAAGTTGTTTTTCTAGGATTTGTTGCAAGTGCCAAGGGAATTGAGGTGGATCTTGAGAAGGTCAACGCAATCCAAGAATGGCCTACGCCAACGACTGTTTTGGATGTAGAAGTTTTCACAGGCTTGTTAGCTTCTACAGAAGGTTTGTTCGTGACTTTAGCACCATAGCGGCCCCACTCAATGAACTTGTGAAGAAAGAGGTAAGTTTTCATTGGGGAGAAAAGCAACAAGCTGCCTTTGAATTATTGAAGGAAAGGTTAACCTCTTCTCCTATTCTTGTATTACCAAATTTTGATAAAATGTTTGAACTTGAGTGTGATGCATTTGGGGTGGGTATTGGGGCTGTTTTAATTCAAGAAAGTCGTCCCATTGCATATTTTAGTGAAAAATTAGAAGGGGCAGAGTTGAATTATTCAACATATGATAAAGAGCTGTATGCTTTGGTAAGGTCTTTACAAACATGGCAACATTATTTCAGACCAAAAGAGTTTGTAATTCATACGGACCATGAATATCTTAAGTATCTCAAGGGTCAAGGTAAGCTAAGTAGAAGGCACATCAAGTGGGTTGAGTTTATTGAGTCATCTCCTTACGTGATTAAATACAAAAAGGGAAAAGAAAACATTGTGGCCGATGCATCGTCAAGACGTCATAGTCTCATCACCACTTTGAGTTCTAAACTTCGTGGATTTGAATCAAAAAAGGAAATGTGTGTGGATGATTTTTCTTCTCTATATGTTGCATGTGAACATGGATCATTTGATAAATTTTATAAGCATGAAGGATACTTGTTTAAAGAAAAAAAGTTGTGCATTCCAAACTGTTCTATGCATGAATTGTTGGCGCCTAAGGCTCACGGGGGAGGTCTGATGGGTCACTTCGGTGTCCAAAAGACTTTAGATGTTTTGAAAGAACATTTCTTTTGGCCAAAAATGCGTGAAGATGTAAATAAAATTTGTGATAGATGTGTAACTTGTAAACAAGCCAAATCAAAATCTAAGCCTCATGGGTTGTATACTCCACTACCAATTCCTTGTGAACCTTGGGTAGACATATCCATGGACTTTGTGCTAGGACTGCCTAGGACAAAGAATGGTCGAGATTCTGTTTTTGTCATTGTTGATCGCTTTTCCAAAATGACACACTTTATTCCTTGTCATAAAACAGATGATGCCTCACACATTGTTGACTTGTTCTTTAAAAAAATAGTGCGTCCACATGGTGTACCACGTACTATTGTGAGTGTAGGGATGTCAAATTTTTGAGTCACTTTTGGCGTGTGCTTTGGAGTAAACTAGGTACTAAGCTTTTGTTCTCTACTACAAGTCATCCCCAAACTGGCGGGCAAACTGAAGTAGTTAATAGAACCTTGTCTCAATTACTTAGAGCCGTTATTTCAAGTGTAACACTCGAGATTTACGTCAAGGTTTTCAAATGACACTTAAGCTTTATTTTAAAAAGTTTTATAAAATCACTTTGTTT